GTGGTCTTGGCTGCCATTTGACTTCAAACAGCGGTGTGACCTGGAGCCCATTCCCCAACCCTTGTCTGGGTGGGGCTCTGCCGCCCACCCCCCTCAACCTTGTGAGTCTATATTCTGCGGCTCTGGTCTGCAGGAGTGCCCTGGGGGGAGTGGGCTGTAGGGGACTGAGGATGGGGGTGCTCCCCACCTGCAGTCAAGAGGCGCTGGAGATCAAAGCCCTTTGAGAGGGGATGGGGGGGGGGGGCTTCCTGGTGCCCAGGGTGGCCCTCAAACAGAGGCTTCGGCCCACTCCCCTGCAGGGCTTCTACAACCAGGTGGCCACCCCCTTGCTGATGGACGTGGAGCTGCGGTACCCGCAGGACACAGTAGCCGCCGTGACACAGCACCAGCACAAGCAGTTCTACGAGGGCTCCGAGATCGTGGTGGCAGGGCGCGTGGCTGACCACCAGCCGGGCAGCTTCAAGGCTGATGTGCGGGCCCGGGGGGTAGGTGGGCAGCCCTGCAGGGTGGAGAGGCCAGTGGGCCCACGGGTACAGCCCCCCACTGGCCCTTCATCTGCCCTCCCCCAGGGATCCCACACAGCACAGTCCCCCCCCTCAGGCGTGAGCTCCTCCCCATGCAGGAATCTGGGAGCCGGACAGACCGGGATGGGGCCAGTACAGATACCCCCCACCCCCACCCCACCTCACCCCCACCCCCGGCTCAGAGTGGACTGCCGCAGTGCCTCCCTTCAGTCTCCCCAAGGACACGGTCCACGTGAGGGGCTCGGCGCCAGGTCAGGGTGGGGCACCCAGGTGCCCCTCTTATGGGCCAGAGCACACCTGGCGCGAGGGCTGGATGCAGGCTTCGAGCCTGGGCAGTAGCTCTAGGTCCCCGGGCCTCAGGTGCCTTGTCTGTCCTTGCGGGTAGGCTGCCCTGGCTGTCGTGTGCAGCGGTCAGTGACACCGTGTGCCCTGCCCACCGGCCTGTGCTGCTGGCACACGGGGAGCCCTGGGGAGAGAGCAGATGTGCCGTGTGTCCTGACACGCAGAATCGTGCATGCAGCCTACTGGGGGTGGGCATTTGGAGGCACAGGTGTTGACAGAAACCACCTGGAGGTTGGGGTTGTTGGCCTCCCTGAAGCTGGGAGCCCATGAGGGTAGAGCCCAGGTCCAGCCGGTTCTGGAGGGTGGGCCGGCAGGGAGTGTTTGCAGCACGAGGGAGGGAGGAGAGGGGCTCAGAATAATGCTGCGGGGAGGGACCTCTCTGGACCAGGAGCCTCAGCCCAGGGTGCTGCTCTTTCCTCCGCGTCCCCCAGGAGGGCCGGGCGTTCCAGACCACGTGCGGGGTGGACCAGGAGCAGATGAAGAGGCTGCTCCGGGAGCGGGGGCATGTGCTGGAGAACCACCTGGAGCGGCTCTGGGCCTACCTCACCATCCAGGAGCTGCTGGCAAAGCGGTAGGGCTGCAGCCCCTCGTGGGCGGGGCGGGCCCCACGGCCTCCTCTCCGTCCATCAGCCTCGCTCACGAAGTGGACACCAGCCCCCAGCCCAGTCAGCAGTGTGAGCGGTACCCCTGACCCCCTCTTTGCCCCCCGCTCTCCTCCGCCCTTGCGTCGAGGGTGCAGGGGAAGCTCTCACTGTCCCCACTACACAGACAGCCGATGGAGTGGCAGGGGTCTCCCCTGGGACCTGAGCCGGGCGCCCGCCCAGCCTGGGGGTGCTTTTCTCTGTGGCGGGCAATTAAACCCCCATTAAGACCCTCGGGGCGCTGCAGATCCATCACACATAGCTGCTGAACTCATGCCTGCAGGGGCCAGGGCCAGGGCGTGCCAGTCCCTTAGCGTGGCAGCGCCAGGGGCCAGAACTGGTGCCGGTCCGTCTGTTCCCAGGATGAAGGTGGAGGGGGAGGAGAAGGCTGACTTGTCTGCCCAGGCCCTGAAGATGTCCCTGGACTATCAGTTCGTGACCCCACTGACCTCCATGACCATCAGTGGCATGGTTGACCAGGATGGCCTGAGGCCCACAATCGACAAGCCCTCAGAGGGTAGGGCCCTGCTGGGCAGGAGGCCGTGGGCAGCGGGAGACTTCTGAGGGCCACGCCTTCTGGCCTGTAACCCTCTTCTCTTCTCCCCTCCTCCCTTCCAGACGACTTCTCAGGTGGGCCTTAACCCTCGAGCCTTTCATCATGGAGGGGCTGTTGGTGGCTGAGCACCGCGCCGCCCTACCCCCCAAGCCCGGCAGCGCTAGCCTGGCCCCTTTCCCACCTGCCCCCTGCCCTCAGCCCTCTGGCCCCGTCCTGGGGCTCCCTCTGGATGGAGTCTCTGCTTCCTGAGCCTGTGCCCAGCCCTGAGGCTACTACCAGGAACGAACCGAGGGGGGTGACCCCGGGGTAGGCCTGGGAGCCCAGAAAGGAATGCAGACTCACTCTGGACCCAGGACACACATGCAGACTGGGGGGGGGGGTTGTCTTGTGGGGCACGGTAGGGACACGTCATCTGTCATTGTCTTCTGCAGAGCTGGTGGGACCCAGAAGGAGTAAGTGCTGGTCACGTGGAAGGGACGCATGGAAGGGACAGGGACGCAGTCTCTACCTCTCCCGCTTGCTGCACTCCCCCACCCCGAGCTGCACTCAGTCTGCCTGACCCAAAGTCCCCAGCCCGTCCCCCACCCGCCCGATGGGGAGCAAAGGCCCCAGGCTGCTTTCCTCCGTCCCAGCTCTCCTGACTGCCCCTCGGAGATGCTCTCCCACCCTTCTGTGCAGCTTCCCCCACAGCCTGGGGGAGGGAGATGACCTCTGTCGCACTCCTTGAGAGGCACCCAAGGGTGCACGGTGCACAGTGTCCCTACTGCTCCCTGGGCCTCGGGACTGTATGGGAGGGCCATCAGGCAAGGGACAGCAGCTCCCGGGCAGCCCAGCCACCTTGCCTCTAAATGCCGGTCCCTCTCGCCTGCCAGTCTACATGCTGCCTGCCTGGCAACCCTTGCCAACACACGCCAGCCCTCTGGGCCAGCAGCTGCCTGATCAAGTCACTGGTGGTGAGTTGGGGGTGGTGGTGGTGTCTGCCTTCCAGGCAACCCCCCAACTGTCCAGCTGTCCCCTGGGGCCTACCCAAAGCCCAGTCTCACGGAATTTGTGTTATGCCCCCAGTGGACACTGACCCCCACTTCATCGTCCATGTGCCCCAGAAAGAGCTCACGTTGTGCTTCAACATCAATGAGCAGCCAGGCGCAATTCTGAACCTGGTGCAGGACCCCGACACAGGTATGGGTGGTCCTGAACGGGGTGCAGAACTCCCGACAGGTATGGGTGGGGGGACATGGTGCAGGACCCCGACACAGGTATGGGTGGGTGTCATGCTCTCTGCCAGACACGGGCCATGGCGGGACCAAGACTTCCCTGTCAGCCACACACAGGACGGTGGCCAGGGTGTCCGCTGCCCGCCGACTGTGTGTGCTGCGCCTTCTGGCCTGAACTTGCTTCCTCTTCCCACCACTGGCCTGAGCCCAGCCCAGGGCTGGTCTCCCGGGCGCCCAGCCCCAGCCAGAAGGACCCCGTGCCTGCTCCCACGAACTTCCACTGCCACCTTGTTCTTGGGCAACGTGCACAGCTTGTGCCGTGGCTGCTCTCAGGAAGGTGGCCAGTGTGAGTCAGTCTGTGGGCAGAATGTCAGTCCTGCAGCCCTGCCTGCCCAGCACAGACCCGTGTTGATGTACACGCCGCTGTGGGAGTGCTGGCTCTGCGCCCCCGGCACTTGGAGTGCCGTCCAAAGTGCTTAAGCGTTTTCGAACATGGGCTCCAGGCCCTGCTCTTGCCCTGGCCCCCACACAAGACATGCTGCGGTCCTGCTGCACCTCCCCCACGTGTGGCCGAGGAAGCCCCCCCCCCTGCTTTCCCAGCAGTGCTTCTGACAGTGGGGGTGCCCCTCTTCTTCACTTGGCTCCTCCCTCTTTCCTTCTGCACAGTGTTGGTTGAGCCCCCCCCATTTCTCCCTTCCCCACCCCCACCGCTCTCTGACAGACAGATCATTGCAGAGTGAAGCCACTGGGCTGGGGGGTGAGGGGCTCCAGGATAAGGAGCAGAGCTGTCATGGGGTAAGGGAGGTCCCCAGGAGCCCCAGGAGTGGCAGGGGGTAGCATGGGCGTCTCTCAGGAGGAAGGCATGGGCAACAGCAGGCTCTGACCCCTGCAGGCTTCTCTGTGAACGGACAGCTTGTTGGCGACCAGGCTGGGCATGGGGGCACATACTTCGGGAGGCTGGGCATCGCCAACCCTGCGACGGGCTTTCAGCTGGAAGTGACTCCTGGGAACATCTCACTGGGCCCCGGCTCAGGTGGACCCGTGTTCTCCTGGGCGGACCAGGCCGTGCTGCGGCAGGACGAGTAACCAAGCCAGGGTGGGGAGACGGGGGTGGGGAGGCGGGGTGCTGGGGTGGGTGCTGGGGTGCAGTGAGGCCCCACCTGCCCTCACGGCTGGCCCGACCCTGCAGGGTGGTGGTGACTATCAACAGGAAGAGGAGCCTGGTGGTGTCCGTGGGCGATGGGGGCACCTTCCAGGTCATCCTGCACCGGGTGTGGAATGGGAGTGCCGCCCACCAGGACTTCCTGGGCTTCTACGTGCTGGACAGTCACCAGATGTCGGTTCGGACCCACGGCCTGCTGGGTACGGCTGGCCAGTGGGCAGGACCATGGGTGGCAGATTGAAGTCAGTGACCTCCTCTGGGCTCCTGGAGCAAGGAGTCAGCTTCCCTGCTGGACACCAGGCCACCTCCCTATGGCCTCTGAGGCCCAGGGCTGCCAGAGACAGGCTTTCCTGTGAGGGCTACGCAGTGGATCACACAATGAGTCACATGATGAGGTCACATCATGGGAATCACAAGATCAGATCACAGGAAAAGGTCACACACTGGATCACACAATGGATCACAGGAAGAGATCACACATGAGATCAAAGGATGAGATCACACAATGAATCACAATGAGATCACATGATGGGAATCACACAATATCACAGAGATTATATATTAGATCTCATGCCGGTATCATACAACAGATCACACAAAGAGATGACACAGTGGATCACTGGATGAGATCACACAACCGATCTCATGATGAAATCACACAATGGATCACACAATTAGAATCATGCACACTATGAGATCACACGCTGGGAATCACACAATGAGATCACACAGTGGATCACAGGAAGATATCACACAATGAAGCATAATGAGATCACACGATGGGAATCACGTGAGACCACACAGTGGATCACAGGAAGCGATCATACAATAGATCTCACGATGAGATCACACGACGAGAAGGCAGCTTAGTGAGCATGGGATGGAGGTACGAGGTCTGCTCCGCCCTCAGGAAGCTCCATCCCCCGTGGGTGGGTGGGCCACAGACTGGCCCTCTGCAGGCCCCTTCCCCTCTGGCCTCTCTCCCCCTCTGAGCATGTATCCAGTCTCCCACAGCCAGTGAGGTCCCGTGTGGCTTCCAACTTCTCCGCAGAAAATTCTTTCGATGCCCGGACACGTCAGTGCGCGGAATTGCCCTCGCACGTCTTGCGGCTGCGCACACTCCTTTTCCAGACCTTCCTTCCGTACCCTCACACGCGCGATCCCCCCACTCCCACCAGCCCCGGGTAGCCCACGTCCCCGCTTGCCTCGCACGCGAGGACTGCGGACGAGCGTCCCCTTGCTGCTGGCTTAGTTCACGAGCAGGTGTCTTTGGGGCCCTGGGCAGTGGCGTGCCGCAGCAGCAATGGCCCCGTGTGTGCGTCAGCCCCCGCCCACTTGCTGACTGACCAGAGGTGGTGCTGACCGGCGACAGTCAAGGCCCTGGAAGAATGTCCAGGCAGCCCTCGAAACCCTGGCGCGTGCGCACCAGCTCTGGGCAAGGCAGAGGCAAAGCCCAGCAGTGACCCCGCCTCCTGTGCCGCTCCCCAGGACAATTCCTCCACCCCTTTGAAGTTGAAGTGTCCGGTGTCCACCCAGGCTCTGACCCGGAGAAGCCAGATGCCACCATGGTGGTGAAGAACCACCGGCTGACGGTGACCAGGTGGGCCTGCCACATGCGCCCAGCCCTTCCGCTTCTGCGGTGTGCTCAGGGTCCCCGGGGGCGGGGGCGGCCTGGCCCTCGGGGAGTCACATGGGGGGACCCTGTCAGGTGAAGGGTGAACAGAGGACTCGTCTCTCCCCAGGGGCACGCAAAGAGACTACAGTAGGGACCCCCGGCGTGGAGCCGAGGTGGCCTGCTGGTTCGTCCACAACAGTGGGGCTGGCCTCATCGATGGCCTCCACACGGACTACATTGTCCCTGACATCTTCTAAGCCCTGCGTCCAGCACCCCTGTCCCCACTGGGCCTTGGGAATCATCCCACCTGCTGCCCCGGCCACACCTCCCTTTCGAAGCTGACGCCCCAGCGCCCCAGCATTAAACAGAGGCTGCGTGCGATCAGCTGTGTTCACTGCACATGGTCTATTTGCTCAGCTGCCATGCGACGTCTGGAAACTCCGGTCCAACCGGAGACGTCTCATAAGCAAGGTCTGCTTCCAAAAAAGGCGGCCCTGGGGACACCGCTGAGCCCTGGGTGGGCATCCACTCGAGAGCCACTGCTGCTCAACTGGAGCGGGTGGCTCTTTGGGGCAGGGTGGCAGGGAGGCCACCCAAGGGCCTGGAATCGACAGCCCCGACTGCAGCGGGGAGAAGCCGGCAGAGGGTGAGAGGGCGCCTCTGTCCCACCTCATGCGCCCTTGTGCTCTGTAGTCCCCTGCCCCTGTCCTCAAGTGCCCTGTGGGAGCCCGCCCACAACACCCTGTCCAGGGACCAGAGGGCACCCCAATTGTGTGTCACAGCCAGCCCTGGGCTCCCCGGGCCCGGCAGGTTCTAAGTACCTTGCCTGAATTAACTCCACATCTGCTCACGACGGGCTTTCATTGTGCCCATCAGCGGCGGTGGAAACTGAGGCACGGAGATCTCAGGCGATTTGCTCAGAGCCACTCAGCCTGTAAGAGGCAGGCAGAGGTGGGGCTCAGACCCACGTCTCCTGGTATTGGCCCCTATAAGCTTCACCTCCCTACACGAACACGTGTTCACTTAAAATGAAAATCACTTAAAAATGAACATCAAACAACCCACGGCCACGGGGTCGATGCTGGCTCCCGGTGACCTGCAGCACACTCAGATTGCAGCCTTTCCTGGAGCACGGAGCATCTTTGGTGGGCTTTCTCCCCTCTGAGCAGCTGGTGGATTTGAACTGCTGACCTTCTGACCAGCAGCCCAACCCGTAGCCCCTGGGCCAATATTCACCCTTGGACATGGAGTCTTAAAGTCCGGCCTGGACTGGAAGCTGCGCCCACCGGGCTCCTCAGCCTAGCTGCCCTGACAGGGGCTTGCACCCTCCATCGGCCCAGCCAGTGTTTCCCAAATGCAGAGAAAGCTGCAGCCCAGGAGCTGCCATTTCGGGGGGCTGGGAGTGGCCCCCTCCCTCCTCACGCCGACGCCCAGCATGACACCATCAAGCCAGAGGGACACTCGAAGAGCCAGTGCGGGCAGGCAGGCCGCAGACTCCTTCCCACCAGCCCTTTCCCTGTGGGTTACTGTCCGGCTCCTGCTCCAAAGGACGCCCGGAAGGGCCCGGAGGCGTAGAGGATTGGCCCTGCCAGCCCAGAGCTGTAACAAGCAGGGCAGAGCCGTCTGTTGGCGGCCAGCCTGTTCCCGGCTGGGCTGGGCTTCTCCGGGGAGACCCCATGCTGCAGGCAGGCCTCCTTTCCCTCCCTGCAGGAAGGGCCTGTGCGGAAACGTGAAGCTCTCTCTCCGGCTTCTATCAAAGTCTACATCGAACCCCCTGCCCCCATGACGCTGGGCCCCTGTAGGGCCTAGCCAGCCTTTCCACAGCTCAGAATCCCGGTTTCTGGTTGCTTCTCCCCTAGAATCCAGAGCACTGGATGAAGGCGCACTCCGGGTCTGGGGAGGGATCACCGGGCAGTGACCCGGCTCAGGGGCCATCTGGGAGCCGGGTCACTCCAGGGCTGGGACAGCTCAGCTTTGAGGATGGCGCACCGGGTGCCAGGGCCTGCTGGGTGCCCAGTGGCAGTGGGCTAAGGCCTTTCCTAGGAACATGGGCACCGCCCACTGGCCCTCTCGCCATGTCCAGCCCTGTTCACCAGCGGCCTCTGTCACGGTGTGACTCGGCCACCCTCCACTTGGGCTCCGTCACATCCAGTGAGCCCAGCCCCTTCCTCCTCCTGCCCCAGGACCCACTCTCTGCAGCTCAGTCTGTACATCTAGAGGCCCGAGCTTCCAACCAAGGCCAGCAACAGCCAGCAGTCACTTTCCTGGCCCAGTGGCCTCGTCTACCCGACTCAGGAGTGGACGGACAAGAAGGGCGCCCCTTGGTCAGACTCACACAGAAGAGCACCCGTGAGGGTCTCACTAAGGCGAAGGGGGCTGGTATGGCCCAGGAGGCCCTAGCCCAGGGGTAGGAGACCGGGTCGTGTCCCTGAAGCACCCCTTAGGTGCTGAGAGGGACGTGGCCCGGGACACGGTCTGGCTCTCAGAGCGCGAGTCCTGAGGCTAATGGGACAGTTAGGGCTGAGCACACAGACTTCCACATGAGGGGAGGGCCGGGCAGACCCTGGGGAGTGTGGACTGTGGAGCAAGCAGGCTGTCCAGTGGCTGGCTGAGGGCCAGGCTCGAAGGAGGAAGGCTTCCTGGTGAGACGGGGAGGGAGGCCGCCGCAGATCAGCAGGTTGGAGCCAGGCGTGGAGTGAGCTGAGGGCAGGCCTGGCTGTCTGCTGTCGGGAAGGAACCCGGTGGTGGTGTGGGTTAGGCGTCAGGTCGTCAACCGTGGGGTTGGTCGTTCCAGCCCACTGGCCACTCCACAGGAGGAAGACGAGGCTGTCTGCTCCCACAAAGATGTACAGTCCTGGGCTCCGTGTAAGGGGTCTCTACGGGTCAGAGCTGACTTGACGGCAGTGAGTTTGGGGTGTGTACTTTTGCTGGGGGTTGGGACTGACCCAGGAGGTCAGAGCAGGTGCTGGCTGCCACACAATCCTATCCGGTTTCCATCTCCCCCAACCCAGGGTCACCCAGCTCTGTCTGCCCAGACTCCACTGATGCTGCTCGTGGAAGTGGGGGGGCCATGCCCTCCAGCTCATCTGGAATAAAGCCCCAGCCCTACTGGCAGTGCCCTCCGGGTCCCCTTGACACAGGCAGTTACAGGGCAGAGGGCACAGGCTCGACTCCACCCACACGCCGACTTCCTGGAAAAGCCTCCCACGCTGCCCCCTTCCCCCAGGCTGCAGGTCACCGACCCCACTGGGGAAACACGGGTGTCTGTCATATAAGGAGCCTGGGCCAGGGCTGCATGAGCAACAATGGCGTCCACTCTCTGGCGCTGCCTGGCCCTGGCCCTGCTCTCTGGCCTGGTGATCGCCAGCCCTCTCCAGCAGCTTAGGGTGAGTCTGCCCTGCCCTCATCTGTGCCAGAGGCATTATGTGGGCAGAGGGCACCTTGTGGGGCGGTCCTCTGAGTGCGCGGGGGGTGGTGGCGGTCGGGGAGCTGGGGCTCAGCAGGGGACAGTCTGGGCATTGGGAGGACAGACCATGCTGACCAGCTGGGAGCCGCAGGCTCTTGTGCCACCCTGAGGGCTGCCTCCCGCAGCTTGGACACAGACACAGATGTGGGGACATGCCGGGAAGGGTGGCCGCCAAGGGCCCCTGAGGAAGATGGGCCCACAACCCATCACATGGATCCTGTTGTTCTTCCTCTGGGAAGGTCTAGTGGTGGTGGCTGGACCGCGGGATGAGTGTAGGTCATGCCATCTAAGTGTGGGTGCGGGGATCGAAAAGCGGCAAGTGTCTACCTACCTGTGTATTTACTGCAACTAAAATTAAGATTACACCTGGAGAACCCCCCACCTCCCCGGGCCTCAGTTTCCCCACCTGCCAAGCGGGGTGACGCCCTGTGGACTGCTCACCTCAGAGAGGGGCTGTGAGCACTCAGGTCTCAGACAAGAGCAGCCCCCACAAAAGGCTGAGCTGGACGGTGGGTGGGCTGGAGGGGGTCCTGGGAGGAGGCCAGAGGGCCGCTGTCCAGGGCGCGGCAGGGTGAGGTAGACTGTGGACGAGCTAGGGACTCTGCCCTGCCCTGCTGGGTGACTTGCGGGCCGGCCCTCTCTGCGCCTCTGCGCATCACACCTGTGGCTCTGGGGGAGTCCTGTGTCCAAAGGCTCTTCCAAGTGTGAGGGGGGATAGTGTGTGGGGGGGGACGACAGGGGACCCAGAAGCCCTGACCTCTGCCCAGAGAGGGTCCCAGGGTACAGCGGCCTTGGTCTCTGCCTGAACACTCTGTTTGTTTGCTTTGCAGAAACGGAGCCTGCCAGAAGGGGAAGGGGTGAGACCTTTCACCGGGGAGAGGAGGGGGTGGGGGTGGGGGTGGGGGTGGAGCAAGGGGAGGCAGCACCAAGCTGGTTGCACAAGAACTGGAGGTACAGGGTGCCCTGTCAGGTCCCTGGGATCTAGCCGACAGACCTCCTGGATGAGAGCCCGCCAGGAACGGGAGCCCCCAAACCATGCCCCCTCGCACCTTACAGGAGGCAGCCTGGGGAGACGGCTCCACCAGTCTCCCCAGTGAAGGGCTCTGGGCCTGGACTGGGGCTGGGCGGTCGGTGCAGTGTCTGTCAGTCTCTCAGAGCCCATGAAGCCCAAGCTCCACCCAGGAGGGTCCCTAAGCCTCCCTGAGCCGCTGCCCGGTTAGGAGGAGGGTGTCTGGGGCACTGTGACCCTTCCCGCGGCACAGGGCTCCGTGTCTGCTTGGATGACAGGCTGACAATGACAAAAGGCCCCAGACACAGAGGGGGAGGGCGTACAGACAGCTGAGCAGAGGACCCCGGGGAAGACCCAGAGCAGTTATGGGGGGGTGGCTGTGAGCCGGGCCTTGGGGCAGGGAGACCTGCAGGAGGGTGGCGGGGAGCCCCCAGAGGGCTGTCTGCAGGAGAGGGACAGGGTTCAGACGGGGCTTCGAGACGCTTCCCGGCCGCACCTGCAAAGGAGCACCTTCAAAAGCATCCTCAGAACAGGGGGCGGGGGGTGGCTGGCCTGGACAGGGCGTGGATGGGTGTGGTCAGATGGAAGGCATGGCCCCGACCCCCTCTGTGCAGGTGGTGAACGGCATCGAGGTCTACAGCACCAAGATCAGCTGCAAGGTGACCTCCCGCTTTGCCCACAATGTGGTGACCACCAGGGCTGTGAACCGGGCAGACGCCGCCAAGGAGGTGTCCTTCGACGTGGCCCTGCCCAAGACGGCCTTCATCACCAACTTCACGCTGTGAGTGCCGCCGCTGCCAGCCGCCGGCCTGCACAGCGCCACCCGCCCCGCCCTGACCCCACAACCTGCTCCCTGCAGGACCATTGATGGCGTGACCTACCCAGGGAACATCAAGGAGAAGGAAGTGGCCAAGCAGCAGTACGAGAAAGCCGTGTCCCAGGGCCGGACCGCCGGGCTGGTCAAGTAGGTGGGGGACATCGCATCAGGGGGGCAGCGGGCTGGCAGACCAGACCACAGCAGTTATCGTGACTGTCATCATGAATGATTACTACTGTGATTATTACCATGAATTACTATTACAGTGATTATATTACTAGGGTTTGTTACATTGATTATTACAATGACTCTGATCCATGCTTACTTACTATTGCAATCACTATGATTAATTATCACTGCTATGATCAATTAGCACTATCATTACAGCAGACGGTGCCCACAGTTCTTACATGATTCCCTTTTGAAGTTGGAGCTGCTGAGGCTCAGGGTCATCAGGTGTCCCTCTGAGGGGCTGGGCTCGACCCTCGGGCCCAGGGGGAGCCTGTGCAGTAGTCCTGTCCCCCCGGCCCAGGGCCTCGGGCAGGAAGCTGGAGAAGTTCACGGTGTCGGTCAACGTGGCTGCTGGCAGCAAGGTCACCTTTGAGTTGACCTATGAGGAGCTGCTGAAGAGGCGCAAGGGCAAGTACGAGATGTACCTCAAGGTGCAGCCCAAGCAGCTGGTCAAGCACTTTGAGGTACGCGGCACTCGCTGCCCCGTGGGCTCAGGCTCCCCTGCAGGGTCCAGGCTCCTCTGTGGGGTCCAGGCTCCTCTGTGGGATCCAGGCTCCCCCGTGGGGTCCAGGCTCCCCTGTGGATTCAGACTCCCCTGTGGGGCTCA